ATAAACCTATTTTAAGCCGGTTATTGAAATTATACTGTAAAAAACTACATCACTGAGATTAGCCACGTAAGATTACTATTTTCTAAATACCGTGACAGGATCACGGTGTTTAGAGTTCACATTATATTTTTTTAATGCAGAGGAAAATAATAATATTTTATAAAATAAGAATATTAAATACATTTCACTACTAAAGTCTGTTTTGTTTGTCCAGTAAATATGTACAACCAAAATAAATCAACCTCAATTCTTAGGCTAGGCCTATTTAACAGACATGTAATGTAAGCTGCAAACGTGAATTAAAACACTTTTAGTTTAATTGTAAGTTCAGTAATATTTTTTAACTAAACTTATTTTTCTCTTAATAAAGTGGTGTAGACTACTATAGTTTTATGGGCATTTTATGAATTTTAATGCATTTAAATGTTGGAAAGTCACATCCACGGAAATTAATAAGCAGAGAACGATCGTTTTTTTCCCAATACTGTGATCCTCTCGAGTTTATAGTTTTTACTCTGTTGATTTTACGTTTTACTAAGAAATTTATATTTTAGCCTATTGTTTTGTTTCAGAATGCCAAGTGAGAAGTTTTCTCCCTTAAACCAGAAACGGACCTATTCCCAAGATGCACTGGCAGGGCCATTCTTGCTGTGCTGGGGGCATAATGGTGACGGGGCTGGAATGCTACACCCCAATTCCCTCAATATGAGTCACATTCCATTGGTGACATACTAACAAATACTTAAGATAAATTGAAAATAAAATAGCCTATGTCCAACATACCAGAGCTCACACCCCAATTCCATCCTACATGAGTCACTGGTGGCTATGCAATTTAGGATGTTTAATACTTTCTATAGTGGAGTGTATCATATGTATTATCTTGTTAAATATTTTTAAATTATTCATCCAATATAGTTTGGTCTTGTCCGTGATTTGTTTGGTTAATGTTTAGTTAAGTTACCAAGATATTGTAAACTTCCCAATAACTAAATTCTTTTTTTCACTTGCTTAAAAAATGTGTTTTGTTCGGTATCGATATATTGAAAAGAAATCATCGATAATAATTAATGTTCCCCTTAACAGGAAAGTACCGCAAAATCAAGAGAACCTTTCTGAAGGTCACGGTATTTGGGCAGTTTACCTTAATTAAGAAATTATAGGCTTCCCTGGACCGTGGGATTTTAGTTTAGTTTGTTTTTGTTCGTTTCTAATTTGTTTAGGCCTATTCTTAATTGCTGTTTTATCTTAGTAATTGTTCGGTAAGATGTGTACCGGTACCTAAACTTTAACTAAATAACTTTTTAAAAACCTAAACATCAATAAAAATGTTGACAGGGCATAACTCAATCTGATGTTTAAACATCAGTAAAAGTTAATTTATAGACCTAGGCCTTATATTGAATCAAATTAAATATTAATGTGGCTTACTTCTATGGGGGTACAGTTTCTTAACTGGGCTATGCTAATATTGATTGGAATTATAGAATTGAAAATATTGATTAATAATCTATATTTTTAAATATATCTATTACTTATATAATAAAACTATTATAACCTAACCTAACCAACCAAACTTGCTGATGGTGAAAAAATTGCATGAAGGATTACTAATCGAATCAATAGTTTCAATCAATATTAGCATAGCCCAGTTAAGAAACTGTACCCTTATATGGTTCTCTGCAGAACTGTATTAGGGCCTACCCCAAAACGTTAGTGTCGTTTGAAGTAAAAAATCCACTAAGTTAGGCCTACACAACAGGTGAAGTAATATCTACCTACCTAGTCCTACTTAACTTATATTGGCTTAGCAATCCCCAAACAATAAGCTACCATGTAAAAGGTTAGCATTCAACTTTTGCCTAGGCCTAAGTTAATTAGTGTTTGTGATTATCGATGCAATTAGCATTTAAAAACTTATTTCATGAGAGACCTACGGTAACCTTTTCAGGAAGTTATGGAATTATTAAGTATTGCTGGGTCAGCTATTGAAAAAATATTAAATTAATCGTGAAACTATCAATTCACTTTTCTTCACGTTTGAAGATTGACGTTTGTGAGCAGAACGTTAGTGAGGCTAGCCTTGTCGAGAAAGGACAAACACTGTTGAATGTTATTTCGAAATGCACTGATCGAACAAATCAATTGTTTTGGTTTGATTCACTTTATTAAATTTCATTACAAATGACATATTGCACAATATCAAATGTTATATCAGTAAACGTTGCACAACTGTTACCAAAGAATCAAGGAAGAGAAAACGTACCTGATTTTCCTTTACGTTTCCCTTTAGGCATGATCCAATTATGTTAAAATTTATCTAAAATTTCACTTAATCAAGAAGTTAAAATATTGCCTATAGATATTCTGTTTCGTATACTTAAAACTCCGGAGTGTAAATGAAAATTTAGTGAAAAGTACATAAATGTCATGGTCTACTCAGAGCCAAAGCAAAGCATGCGAAATGCACCCTGTTCGTTGGCGGGGGCTATCATCCAGTCGATTTTAGAGCTGTCAGCATTGTCTGCAGACAGTTAGGAGAGCACATGACCTTGCCACATGACCAAGACTATAATCCTTGGACTAGTTAATGATGTACTGTTCAATGTTTCTAGATTGTATGCGATTATATAGGAAGTTTAAGCTTAGAGTTGTTTACGATAACATTAAAATTTTTTCTTTACACTCCTAGGCAAATAAAATACTCCCACCACAGCAAACCTGCAGACTATATTTACATATATTTACAGTTGTCTATAACACGATGTTTTGCAATGGAAACTGAATTCACAATTATTTAGAAAACGTCTCTCCGATAATAGAAAAGCCCCGTTATGGTGGGGAGTCGGGAAGTAGCCGCAATCTTGGATTTTAGGTGCAATTTTTAAGTTTTTCCTAAATATCTCGAAAAACTACCAAATTTTTGTATACTATATTAAATTAGGAAATTAAAGAAGATAAAATGACCTACAAGAAAAGTACATGATATAACTATTTTGGTTCAACTATCTACAAGATATAGGTAATACATTAGGGACTAGTAGGATCTATCTATCTATATATTAATAGGCAAGCATGTTTCTTTAAAACCTTTTTTCTCAGCTCGTGTGCATCGTAGGGAAAATCTACGCATACCGTTGGAAAGCTATTTTCCTGTAGGTGTGCAGAATCCCTTTATAAATTTAAATAGGCTCAAAGATAAGCACAAAAAATGAGTTTAAAAATTTGAAAAAATTAACATGGATCTTATGCGTTGCTATGCTGGTTACGAAATAACAACGAAATATAAACAGAAAATCAAAACTAATGGAGGAAACTCCAATCACATGTTTTATTTACAGTGTGGGGTGAAAATAGATAAGTGAGTACATTACATATTTTTGGTCGAGTTTCGACCACTGGACGATCTCTCGTCTATATATTAATAGGCAAGCATGTTTCTTTAAAACCTTTTTTCTCAGCTCGTGTGCATCGTAGGGAAAATCTACGCATACCGTTGGAAAGCTATTTTCCTGTAGGTGTGCAGAATCCCTTTATAAATTTAAATAGGCTCAAAGATAAGCACAAAAAATGAGTTTAAAAATTTGAAAAAATTAACATTGATCCTATGCGTTGCTATGCTGGTTACGAAATAACAACGAAATATAAACAGAAAATCAAAACAAATGGAGGAAACTCCAATCACATGTTTTATTTACAGTGTGGGGTGAAAATAGATAAGTGAGTACATTACATATTTTTGGTCGAGTTTCGACCACTGGACGACCTCTCGTACTTATTTAATACGCAAGCATGTTTTTGTGACAATTACTCCTCCGAAACTACTGAACCGATTTACATGTTTTTGGTGTCATTGGAAAGAGCGTAACGTGAAGTTGTGCAGGAAACTTTCTTTTTAGGGAAATAATCAGAGAGTGAGGCCCTAGGACCCTTTAAAGTTTCGTATTCCTCCATAAGATTAACATGGGAAACAAAAATTATTATGCAACTCCAGCTGTTGTCAGAAATTAAAAGTGAGAAGAAGAACATATGTTAATTGTAAACAGTCAATAAGTTTGCTACAAACATTGCCTTGGTTGAAATGAAAAATTTACTATTTGAATTCGGGTTGGCGTAAATATTACAATGGAAAAAAGCGAGAGAGCCTGGATAAATATATATATTTTGTTATGTACATCTGGAATATTTCCATAATCTTTGGGTCGAATCTTTTAAAGTCATCAGAAATTATGAACGTTATTCCGTTTAAAATAACACCTCTAATACTTAGAAATTGCTCGAATTCGAGCAACAGGGACACTAGTATCTTATTAATGTACTCCTTCAATTAGGAATAAATGTAAATTTGTACGTAAAATAAATGCTAAACGTGGCAAAGCCTATCCACCTAAGGTCAATATAACCGATATTCATGAAATTTTGACAAAATTCCCAGCAATTTGACACCTTAATCATCAAAATTGGTCCAAGATTAAGGCGAGGATAATCACATAAAAAAGTTTTAATTTAATAAACTAGGTTAAAATAATGCGGTTATTGTTAGCTATCTAATAACCAAATTAATTTTTATTTTTTTTATATTGTATACAAAATGTTTATGGTTTTCTAGATATTTAGGAAAACCTAAAAATGTCACTTAAATCCAAGATGGTGGCCATTTCCCAACCCCCCACCCTCGGGGCTTTTTGGTATGTTAAAAACACCTAGGACGACATTTTAAATCAATTTCCAGAACTATAAGATTTTTCATTTTTTAAGGTATTAAATGACTGGGCAACTGATGCTATACAGAGAATAGATATTTCTTGTTAAAGAAAATATCTTAGGGAAAATCCAATCAGAAAAGTGGAAATTCACTTATTCTGTAGGTTTGCTGCAGATGTGGTTTTTAACACTCTGAGCAGATTTTTGGGTGAATTTAGTCAGGTGGAGATGTATGGGTGTGCATTCACAAGTCAAATAAAACCCATGTGTTATGGTTCCTCGATAATTATGAAAATAAACATTGTGTTGGGTTAATTATTTCAATCAATTTAATTAGTGTTTATAATTACTATAACAACATAATCATTCAATAATTATTATCTGACTCCTTCATGGTACATTTACATCATGGAAGAAATTAAGATCAGTTTTAAAAAGAAGAGGAGTGCATTTGATATATTTTCGTCGTTAGCATCCAAAACTATTTTGTCGGGAATGGTGTTTTATACAGGCTATTTTGACGTAACTCCTATTTGGATTTGTAGTATTCTAATCGGACTAGCGTACAGAAATCATAAGAGATTAGAAAGTGTGTTTAACCAACAAGTGTCTACTGGCATCTTTTACAAAACGGGGAGGAAAATGGTACTAATCAATACAAATCCTTTTCCAAAGAGTGTGAATTTTCCAGAGGAGGGAAACTGTGAGTTTTTGAACAAGATCACCCAAAATATGTGGTCTAAAATGTCTAAGTATACAGAAAATCTGTTGAAACAAATTATAGAACCAAAAATAAACGAATCTTTGAAAAAATACAAAAATGGTCCTGAATTCAAGTTTCACACAATAAGGCTAGGCTCAATATGTCCACGTTTATACGGATTAAATGTTAAGAAAAAGTGTTCAAGACAAATGGAGTACATCATATTCGATGTAATGGTATTTTATGCTGGAGACACTGAACTTTATTATTACCTCATGTCTCTTGGTGGAGGCGTACAACACTTGGAATTCAGTGGCCATATTAGGATTGTCTTAACAGTTATGAAACTACCGATTCCAATCATAAAAGGGGCAGAGATTTTCTTCGTACACAAACCAAAATTCGACTATGACTTCACTGGTGCAATGGATATCCTAAGTGTGCCTGGTGTAAGTGGAATGTTAAGAAGAACAATAGATGATCAATTGAGCTTAAACGTTGTTCTTCCAAATAAAATTACAGTTGGAACAATTGCTATTGTAGATTCGATCTGTTGTAAGTGCTTGGATCCTGAAGGTCTTCTTCGTTTGAAAATTATTAAAGCCAGTGGACTAGGAGACAGTGGTTCGGGTGTATTTAGCTCTGGATTCGCTGAAACTTACATTACCGTTACGTTTGGGCCTCAAACATTTACATCTCAAACAGTCAACAGCTTTCTCGATCCAGAATGGAACTTTTGTGCCAACCTAATGGTAGATTATTTGTCATTTGATGATAAAATTACAATTGTCGTTAGTGGAAAAAATGGGAGTACAATTCTTGGGAAAGTAACATTGGATCTAAATTTGACTGTAGAAAAAAAACATTTATGTTCTTGGGTTCAGTTGGAAGACAGTACTTCCGGGATGATCTATTTAGAAATATTCTACTACAACCTTACTTGCGAATACCAAGATGAGCAACAGATGGAACAGCCATGTGTACTAGTCGTATTCATACATGCTGCCTTTAACTTGGAAATTCCCAACAGTAGTGGAAACCCCGATTCCGCTGTGTATTTAAGTATCGACAATGATACCAAGTCTTCTAAATCAGTGTCATCAAAGAATCCAATTTTCAATGAAGAGCACATATTCATAATTGAAAATAAGGCTAAAGACAAAACTCTAAAACTGAAGTTAGTGGACCAAAAGAGTAATTATTATCTAGGGAATGCTAACATACCTTTAAAACGAGTATTTGAAGCGGAATTTTTAGAAGTAATTGATCTTATGTGTCCTCTCATAGGAGCTGCAACAGAATCCTCACTTCAGTTATCCATCCGAGTTAGAATAGCAACAGTAACGTAATAATATGTTACAATTAGATTTGAATTTATGATTAAAAAGTTGGTTATTGTAAAAAGATTTGTATATAGATTATAAAGTTGAAACTGATAACAACAAACAGCACACACAGTACACTTGATTGTTGATTAAACAATTTTTGTAATTGTTCTCACATTTCTACGCACACTTCAAGAAACTAGACTGCTCTAGAGCTTCTATGATTTATTTACCAACCCAAAATCGCCGCCCATTTAATGATTAAAAAAACGCAGAACCTGAAATGTTGAAATTGGTCAGCAACTGTATTGAAACACTTTTTACTTTAATTTATGATATTTTATTTGGTACTTTTTAAGATCAAGCCTTTCTTCAAGGTTTCAGAGCAATGTGTGTGTGTGTGTCTCCTATACTCTGAAACAAATGCGTGTACGGACAAACTTTTATTTTCGTCAGAGGATTTGTATTTTTTTTGCACATTATGGGGTATTTGGCCACGAGAAATCGATTGGAGCTGGTTACTAGGCTAGGAAAATCCAGTTTCCGCCCTACAGCCATTGAAAGTGCCCAAGTTATCGCAAAATACATTTTTTTGGATGCAGTTAATAAAAATACCCCCGCTAAAGCAAACCTGCCGACTAAGCAAATTTCCATTAGCCTGGATTGATTTTCTATTAATCTATTAAATTAACATTTATGTTTAGCGAGTACCTAGGTTAGCTGCTACAGGAAACCTAATGAAGTGGGTTTTTTATTAAAATATCAATAGCTCAGTATGAAATAAATAAATACACCAAGTTTGATCAAAATATATACATAAACAAGCCCACTACAACATTCTACAATATTCCCCATAAAAATAACATGCGAATTTTAAATTAAATTTTTTTTTGAATTTTCTCCGTAACCTATCACCTAACAAAACACTTTTATACTAAATTACACTGTGTCCAACTTAGTTTATGATATTTTCCTTGCTTTAATTTAATCAGCGGTGTAGCAAAACACAAACACTAAATTTATCGTAATATAATTAAGTTAATGGTATTGGATGTGTTAAGATAAAAAAATTAGAGTAATAACCAACATCGGGGCACTCAATGGTAACCCATACATGAAACGCCTAGTAAAATATCTTTAGATTTTATAATAGAATACATGTGGGTAAACCGAAATGCTAAAAATCATAATTGCTGCAGTATCGAAAGTCAATGATATAAAAAAGAGAAGTAGTAGCTAGTAGCTACCTTTGAATGAAAAAATGTGTTAGTAATAACAAAATATCATTACTTAAATGTATACCGGAAAAATCAAATAATAGTGTGAAATTAGTTCTCTTGTATTTTAAACAATATGTACATTCATTTAGTTTAGATAACAGATATGTATTTTCAATCCTAGTCAAAACATAATTGAGTTTTTAGTTGTTAGTTGTATTTTTATCAACTAACAAAATGTAAAAATATTTTAAAACATCTAAACCTTATAGTTTCCCTGCTGTTAAAATTAAAAGGCTGTTAAAAGGCCTACCGTTTTGAGTATTTTATAGCCTTAAATGTTCTTTTTTATGTCCGTGTACGTGTTTGTGTTTTGTTTATTTATTTACTATTTATTAACGACCTTCGAATGAAGCGAGAAGACATCTTAACTGCCTGAAGATGACTCCAATGTGAGCTGAAACCGGTAGCAACTCAGCTACAAACAAGATCGCATAAATGCAGGTATTTTACACCAATTTATAGTTTGTTTTTTTTTCTTTACTACAGTGCTTTATGTTGTGCGATTAGTTTTCCTTATTTACTTTATATGTACGTTTATGAACGAAATAAATGTTTAAGAAAGCTTATCGTTTGAAAATTGAATCGTATGGGTACATTATTTCCATAAATGCATCAGCGCCTCATATCATTCGTACTAGGTAGTCTTATAAGTTAGCCTAGCCTTATAAGAAAGATATTTGTCAAACTAAGAGTTTCAATTTAGTTATGTTCCTGAAACCAAAGGGGAATGTGTATTTTATACAACAGAATTCAAGATCAAATTTTTTCGCTTCAGTGTCCTTTCCGTTGCGAAGCACGGGTACAACAGCTAGTATTATATATAATTTGGTTGGATATGCTGTCTGATATTGTGAAATAATCAATATTGACAGTTCTGCTTATTTGCACTGAGATGCCATAGCAAATGTAATTGTGAGCGTTCTCATTTGAGCCATGGAGACCAATCAATACAGTATTTATTTTTAAAATCCTCACCTCAGAACTTTAAAGCCAAAGTGGCAAAAGCCCAATGTCGGTATCGAAGTGTGAATAGTCCTATTACCATTCTTGGTATGGTAGCTATATTTTTGTAAAATTTAAGCCCATTCGGTGAAGTAGTTTTTACGATATTGAGTAACACACATACAGACAGACACCATTCAAGTCGTACTAGATATATCTACGTTATATTATGTTATTATGATATATATAATATTATATGGTATATATTTTCCCTACTTTGGGAAATTGGTGGATACCTATACTATTTCTAAATTTCTTTGAAAATAAACTCCAGAGTTTGGAGAATAGCTGAGATATTAGTCACAATGATAATATGTCAAAATACAACGTCAACAATTTTACAAGTGGTGTGTGGAATGCGAACGACGACGGCCAGGGCTCGAATTTTGATTAGGACTTTGCCAATGCATTTCTGTAAATCTGGCTAAATAAATTGCTTATGACCTAGGACACATACTTAAGACATGCGTGTACAATTAATAAAAGCCTCACCCCAATGATGATTTATAAAGGCGAAAGATTGTGTGCGTGGAACTCAATCACGACCACTGTGGTCTGGAATTTTGCATGATTATATAGCTCAGTCCTATTCTTATCTTAAAAATCCTTTTGGGCTCCACCCCAATGGATCTTGCAATGGTTATTGATTTTAGAAATAATCAAACCATCTTGACTGCTGTTCAACTAAACAAATCAGTTGGGTTCTATAATATGTTTTATCTATAGGTTCTATGATGTTCAATAGCTTAAAAAATTTACAAGGTTTAATAACCGAGTACAGAACTAGGTTGGCGTATAAGCATAAAATGTGTATTGCAGTTATACTAGTGCTTTTCATTTGTAATGGGATTTGTAGTTTTAGGAAATTTGGTTTACTATAATTTACGGTACCTATGCTATAGTATAGCACATCTACCACAGCCATAATGTTCTACCACTGTCCCTTAACAACTAGGGGTGTGGTCTCAGGTCCGCCAATTGAGTGGAGTGAATAAAATAGTTAACAAATTCTTTTATAATGAAATGTATAATTAAATTTACAATTTCAAACTTGTAATGTATAATTAAATTCTTATTCTTATTCTTAGTAACATTTAAATTTAAAAAATATACTACAACATAAACACTTTTAAACAACTTTTAATTATCAATACAATACAGTACTTCGTCGTAGAACCTAACGTCCATTTACTGTTTGTAACTCTCCCCTTCCTATCAAAAATGGCTCATAGTTAGCAATTCCTTGATAGTTCTTGTTCTTACTCGCGACAGCAATAAAGTAATCCGAGTAGAAATTTTGATTTTTCCAGTTCGACCACTTGAGTGCATCCTTGACTGAGGCTGAGATGTACCGAAATTGCACAGGTAAGCTTAGTGGGGTAGTGGGGACTGCCTATGTGGACATTTTCTCCATTCAATTTTAAAGGAAGCAGAATTATAAAGAAAAGGTAACAGGACATCAGTAGGAAATAATTCCAAAGTGACGACATTTTTTAAGTAAAGAGGTGTTGTTAAGGTATTTGCACTACTAAGGCCGGTAGTCATCTGATGTCGCGTTAGCAGCAGTCATGCTGTTCATGGTAGTAGGACACGGTACAGGTAGGCTACATTAGCTTGTTCTTATTATACAACATAATAAAATGATTTGTTTACAATAATACGTATATTATTTTTGCATTTGTTTCTCTTTTTAACATTACAGCTCATAAATCTTGAGACAAAATGAATGGAACATTCATGAAATATCTTACGCACATCATATAATAACATGTGTAGATTAGATATGTATATGTATATTTTTTGGTTGCGTTAAAAACAAATTTGTATGCCAATATAGTGCAGGTTCTGATTTTTAAGAAGTTAGCGGTCAATTAACCAAGCTGCATTAACTACAAGCATAGATAAAACCAAAGATTACATATGCTAACGCATATGTAATCTTTGATAAAACGTACTTCTCAAGTACATACTTTTACATTTACATACTTGTGGAGTTTGATTTACCTATGCTACAAGTCTTTTGATAAAAAAAAAAAAAAACATGCGTAAATGTACAACGAAAAGGACCTTAAAATCAGCAAAAGTTGGGAAACATTATATAAGCTGATATAAGCTCCTCACCCCCACCCTTCGTGCACCAGCCAATCGCGGCACTCGCTCCGCCCATTTTACCCCTTCCATTGTTGCGTAGTGCTTTTATAAGCCATGCTTACATCATTTGCAGTCAGATACGTTCTGTGCCTTAGTTTGTGATTATCTCTGGTGTCACAGCAGTTTGGTTAATTCGTAAATAACAGAATGGACAATCCTACGTTTCTTGGGGCTGATCTTCTAGGTGACACAACCATGCTGAACTTCAGCCTGCTTCATGCAGATTCTAGACCTCACTTCTGCGGTGAGTTTGATTTGATATAATTATTATTTCGTATTAACATATTCCCTCTACCGCTTATATTGGTTGATTATGTACGGTGAATAAATCTTTATACTGTTAACATATAACGTGATTTTATATCAAGAATTGTAACAGAGTAAATTTCTCATATTATTCTTTATTTATTCGTACATACGGCAATCGCCATTTTACAAAATATGTTTGATTAAATATACAGAATATTATTATACATTTTCCTTTCAAATTCTAATATGAGTTGTCGGCCTATTTTTTTTTTTAATTTTAACATATTGCATTGTTTTTGACATTTTAATCAGTAAAAGAACAGTAATTTCCATTTTTATTCT